CATCACCGCTCGTACGCAGAGAACGGCGACGTGCTGGGTTATAGCGGCCCCCAGTGGCCGCCGGAATCATCCGACGGTTCACAGGTCACCCCACCGCAACGCGTCAACAGCGTGCGGGACGTTATGTTGGAAACTTCTTTCGCACCGCGCGTACGCCAAGCGTTGCTGAGCGGGGGTGCGGGAGGCAAAGGGCAACGTACTGAACGCAACAACAGGCAGTTCTAAATAAAAAAATTAGTTTCCCCCATCTAAGTTATTTACAGGCGCAGACCTCCCAGTGGCTTCCCAATATCGAGAAGGGAAGAGCGTTCCAGACGGCCGCAGAAGCGCATCTGAAAGCGGCCGCGCGATGCGGTGACCGCCGCCTTTGTTCCGACGTTGAGCAGCCAAAAGCCGCCGCCGCCGCTGCTGCTGCTGCTGCTGCGAGGATGACCACCGGAGTAGCCGTGCTGGAGGTTTGTGCTCCTTGACGAGATCAGCAGCAAGGGAGTGCGGGTCATTTGTGGCGAGCAACTTTGCGCGTAACGAATGCGACCTCATTATATATATACAGTGCCCTATATAATGCACGACGTTCCGGGCAATGGCTCTTATTCATCGCAACACGCATAGACCGGAGAGAACGAGAGAGATAACGGTGGATTCGTTGAAGTTGTGCAAGTCTCCAATTGTTTCTTATCCAGCTAAACGCGTAGGCCTTCGCGATCAAATATGTCTGTCGCCTGATGATGTTGGTTGTAATTACTTTAGTGGCGAAACGTCGTGCTCGAATTTGTAAATGTTATGGGTTTAGTCTCCCAACACACCGATTGCGCTGTACGAGTAACGAATTTGATGCTGGTTGTAATTACTTTAGTGGCGAAACGTCGTGCTCGAATTTGTCAATGTTATGGGTTTAGTCTCCCAACACACCGATTGTGCTGTACGAGTAACGAATTTGGGCATGTTTTGCATACGTGACACAACCTTTACTAATTGGCTGTGTTGGGTGGTGGCGGGTTTAGCGACACATTTATACTCACGCGATCTAAACCCCCCTTCCCCCCCCCCAAAAAAAAAAAACCTCGATAACAGTGCCAGATTATCGTAGTGGCAAAAGTAGCTACACATGTAGGTAGCTACGGGCCCCGCACTTTCAAGGGCCCCACGCTAAATTCGTTCAAACTATCAATTCCGGTTCAGTGATTCTGCACTTGCTCTATTACTATAGTACTATACCGCCTTCAGCTTCTATCGACGACTGGGTGTTTAAGGTTAGCGATTTGTAGTATTCTCTGGCTGTATAGCAAAGAAAAAAATTACAATTACTCTACTATGCAAGTTAAAAATTTGTGTTTTAATATGTATGTGTTTATTCATTTATTAAGGGTGCCTTTATAACACATGCTACAGGCCCTGCACTTGCTTAATCCGGCACTGACAATTACAAATATTGCATTTCTTTAGAACTGTTTGTCGTTGTGTTGAGTTTGTTGTCCTTCCCCCGCATGCACCTCCGATGAGCACGATTGACTTCGTACGGTGTAGAAAGAAGTTCAACAAACATACGTACAAACAGCAAAATAAAAAAAGACTCACATTCCTAAAAAAAACAGTTACCTACGTACATATATACCTCTCTGGTCTCTATATGTGCCGTGAAGAAGGGCCATTTCCTGAAACGTCAAGAATGGTCTACCTTTCTTTGTTAAGACCCACGGTGTTATTGACGCATGGGCTGTGGTTGTTTTTACTTTCTTCTCTGCAGTCCATGATTTGTCTTTGTTCCCTGATCCACGTCTTCCTCTTTCTGTCCCCGTGTCTCAGAAGCGTGCATCGTCATCTTAAGGAAACATTGCATGCAACGTTGGGCCAACATTGGGCCAATGTTCGCACGGTTACTGGGACGCTACTTTGCACAGCGTTTTGGCAGGATCGCATCAGTGTCCGTGTTTCTCATGCAGACGCCATCGTGGGTAATATGCACTTATTGAATATATTATTTACGAAGTGTATTGCTATATTGGCGCTAAATGCTTTCAAGCTATCGATTCCGGTTCAGTGATTCTGCACTTGCTCTATTACTATAGTACCAGGCCGCCTTCAACTTTTATAAACGACTGGGTGTTTAAGGTTAGCGATTTTGTCGTATTATGTGAGCTGTATAGCAAATTAAAAAAAACAATTACTTTACTGTGCAAGTTAAAATGTTGTGTTTTAATATTTACGTTTTTTTTAATTTAGGGACACTTTATAACATCATGCTACAGGCCCCGCATGCGCTTAATCCGGCACTGATCGATTATGTTTCTTATCCACTCCATCCCTCTGCCGAATCAATCTTCAGTTTTCAGTTGTATTTATTAGGTATAACCCTGTGAGCCATGCGGCTCTTGACTCGAGTGCAACCGCAACAAAACAAAAACAAAAAACATCTTAAAGTGACTACACGCAACAGGAAAATCCTGGAAAAAACAGCAAAAGTCTTCCAGGAAAATCACCGCATTTCAACGCTGTGTGCAAAAATCCCAGTGAGATGCAAGTCAAACAATAACAACCATAAGACAATGTAGATTAAAGTTATCAGGCTAACTCTATACTACAACAAACAAACATGGCTAAACCAAAACGTTTTCAAAATCACCAAAATAAAGCTATGCAAACAATGTAAAAGTGATCATAGGAACTGTGATTTAAATTTAACAATAAACGATATACGTGACATGTACGACCAAACTTTTCAGCCATAGCTGGCTGCATGAGTCACTCCATAACAGCAGGAGTATCAGTAGCAGAATAAAAACATTTCAATACACCTTTAAAGATCAGCACACTATAATCAAAACTCAAGATGATACTTCGCAGCGGTCATCCGGAACGAAACATTTGATGTCAGGCCATTCTGAATAGCAGTGGCAGCTATAGGGGTGTCCAACTCCTCTGGATTAGTTTTGAGTGAAGATCTCACAGTTAGTCGGGGAAAACGTTTTTTGGTTTGGCCATGTTTTTGTTTATTGTAAAATAAAATAACACAATAAAATTCTCACGACGTTTCGGCCACAACCCTTTCCGTTCTTAATTAATTGTATTTTACGATGACCTTCAGACCGCAGCTCTTTCGCTGGCATTGACTCTTAATACCTCTCACACCACGGTTAATGGTATGGTTTACAACATGGAGTATAACAGCGCCTCGCAGCTGTCTCTCTCCCGCTCCTCTGTTCCGACCATGGATGAACTCGTCCGTCTGAACGGGGCTCGTAGCTATCCGTGGTGCTAAAAGTTGAGGGTAAGAATCCACCCATTTTTTCCCCATATAGCATTGTGATATATAACGACGTATTGTTGGTAGCTTAGCTGATTGGAGAATATATAGAGTTTATTGATAACATTGAGGTAATTTCTATTTTAGTTTTTTATTGGTTTGCTATATAGTATTCATTATATAGTGTAGTGTATACCCAGTTACTGTTAATAGCTCAGCTTATTGAAGAATATATTGAATACATTTATTCTGTGGATGTGTATGCTTTGACTTTAACATAGCCATTTCTGTGACCAGTCACAAGCTAATCACTCAGCTATTTCAATGCTAAATTCTATGCTAATTCCTTTGTCAAGGCGCTCTGTTTCTTCTCACACAGCTTAAAGGTCGCGATCTGAGCGTGGCTTTGTTCGCTCCAGCGCTGTCCTCCAGACAGTCTCGCCCCTTCACCTGATGAAGGCCGCTTGTGTTGTGGCCGAAACGTCGTGAGCATTTTAATGTGTTATTTTATTTTATCAATTTATTATTTTATTCTCATTCTACGTGACTTTACCGAAAGAACCAAAGAAGACGTCTTGTGGTTGTTGTTATTTGACTTGCATCCCACTGGGATTTTTGCACACAGCGTTGGTGTACGGTGCTATTTCAGGAATATTTTGATGTTTTTTTTCCTGGATTTTCTGTTCTGCACAAAGTCACATAGTCACTTTAAGATGTTTTCTTGTTCACGTTTATTGTTTTGTGTTTGTTACGGTTGCACCCGATTCAAGAGCCGAATGGCTCACAGGGCTATGCCAAATAAATGGAACTATGGAAATGGAACTTGATCGTCCGTGCCCACGCACTGTCGCCCTCAATGAAGCAGGCGTCAGCGCGCATCACAGCGCAACGGGGACGACTACGGGGGGCCAAGTGAAACGTGGAACGTCGTGGTCTCAACGTTGGCTCAACGTTCACCGTCTATAATTTCGTCGACCTCAGCGTCCGCTCGCGAGTGACGCTCGCGGCGTTGTCGGTTCAGGGGCGATGACGTCACGCGCCATTTAACAGTGACGTCAGGGGAGAGGCAGCGACGCGAAGACGTCAGAACGCCATTTATAAGTGAAGTCGGGGGGAGGGAAACCTCTACGCGCCGACGTCACACGCCATTGAATAGTGACGTCAGGGGGGAGGCCGCGACGCGATGACGTCAGAACGCCATTTACCAGTGACGTCGAGGGGAGGGAGGGGGGGCCCCGCGACGCGATGACGTCGCGCGTCGACGCGACTTCCCGAACCGCATCGCCAACGTCGGCACGCAGGTTGGGCGCCAGCGTTTGATTTGACGTTGCCGGGACGTTGAGCTCGTGTCCATACTCCCTTGTGTTGTGAAAACGGACCGTTTGCCCTAAACGTCGCAAGTTTTTTTGACATACCTATACATAGATTGTGTTTTTTTTGCATTTCCGGCAAGGCCACGCTGCCATTGGGGGGCGTCCATAAATGAAGTCATGCACCGGGGGGGGGGGGTAAGGGTCAGACATTTGTGACGATGTGTACACAACACGTTCTACTTAATTAAATAGACTTTTTTAATAAGTGTTTTCTCCTACAACATCAGAGTGCAGCGCTACATTAAATACGCAACTACAATGACAATAGTTTAAAGCGATTTAAAACATGTTTTATTTTGGGGTGGGGGGGGGCAGGGCTTTGTGACGTCATATTTGAGGGGGAGGGTCTGACTTTTTGTGACGCCGCGTGACGAAAGGGGGGGAGGGGGTAAAAAATCGTCCATAAATGACGTGACGTGACGTCATTTATGGACGGCCCCTTTGACACGAAACCGCGTCGTCTCATTATTTTGACTCAACACAAGTGACTTCATCGGTGCAGAGCAGTTGCGGCTACGCTGATTGCGGCTACGTTGATTGCGCAACCGCGAGTGTAAGAACGAGTTGTGACCAAGTTCAATGATGCACGGCTACACCCAGCAAACATCCGTCCCGTTGTAGCCCAGCGACACGAGGCCTCTGTCGTGTCTGTTAGCGAGCGCCTATTATTGTGAAGGTGTCTCGCGCGCGCACACACACACACGCAGCCTTAGCGAGCTAGTTAGCACGGCAGCGTTTGATTTGACAACAAACACGCACGCACACACACGCACATACACACACACACGCGCGTGCCGCCGCCGCTGACAAAGGCCGGCGAGTGATGGGTTCAGTCTGCGTCGTTTAGACTCCAGCGAGTTGGCGTAGCGAGTTAGCAAGGTTTGCGGTGCCGCGAACGTGAGCCGAATACTTCAAAGGTACGTTCGGGAGTTTGCAGTGTGTCTCTCATCCAGCAGTGGATTGACAAAAACAGAGCTGCACGTGAACGCGAATAATGGTGGTGGAGCGGTGTGCGAGACGTTAACTGCCTCGCTTTGTATGCAGATTGGACGCGGGTTCGATCCAGTGCCGGATTAAGCTCGTGCGGGGCGTGTAGCATATGTGATAAAGTGGGACATAAATTAAATAAATAAGTGATATTTAAAAACACGCTTTAATAAATGTACCGTACTAGTAATGGCACAACTCCAGGAAGTGGCCCCGAGGCTTGCCACAACGTAAGGGGACCGTGGTGATTTACAGCCAACCTCAGTTGAGCGTGGACAATTAGACCCAAACCGAAACATAACATGTAAAAAATAATGTTTAAAATATTTATTTTTATTTTTTATGATAGAATCTAGTATTGGTGTACGTGCTTGAGTTCACTGCCTATGTGTTCCTGGTCGGATATGCATTGGGCTCTATGGTACAGAGTCTTGATGAGAGAATTCTTCTGTGATGGATGGTGGTGGGAATCCGGTTTCAGATAAGCATCCGTATCGGTAGCTTTCCTGTAGACAGAGTGGCTCAATAACCATCAGGTCTCTTTTTTATTAGGACATCCAAAAAAGGTAGCTTGCCATCTTTTTCGACTTCCATGGTAAATCTGATGGCTGGGTGTATGGAATTGATGTGGTCGAAGAATTGGTCTAGAGCAGGCCAGCCATGTGGCCAGATGACAAAAGTGTCATCCACGTACCTCTTCCATAAGGTTGGGCGCAGAGTGGCAGTCTGGACGGCGTCAGTCTCAAATTTCTCCATGAAAATGTTAGCTATAACCGGAGATAGGGGGGAGCCCATTGGGGTGCCCTCAGTTTGTTTGTAGAAAGTTCCATTCCAAGTGAAGTATGTATTGGTTAAACAGTGTCTCACCAGGGGGGTACCTCAGTGTTTAGTCCTTGATGAACCAAGTCTTCAATGATTGCGATGGTGTCAGGTACAGGAACCTTTGTGAATAAGGAAACTACATCAAAACTGACATGCAGGTCGTCTGGGGACAGGGAAAAACCCTTGATTGTCGATACCAGGTGAGTAGAATTTTGTACCGCAGAGGTGGTTTTTCCAGTTAAAGGACGCAGGATTTCAGACAAAAAACGAGCCAGTTTGTAGGTGGGGGAGTTGATAGTAGAGATGATGGGACGAAGGGGTGTATCTACTTTATGTATTTTTGGTAAGCTGTATAATCTTGGTGGCCTGGCAGCAGAAGGTTTCAACGAAAACTGTTTAGATTGATCAGTTAATGCGGTTGAATCAGACATTATTTTGTTAGTTATACAAAAATATAAAGAGATCCCACCAACAGCCTCGTCACACAAACCAACAAAATAATTTCTGATTCAACCGCATTAATTGATCAATCTAAACAGTTTTCGTTGAAACCTTCTGCTGCCAGGCCACCAAGATTATACGGCTTACCAAAAATACATAAAGTAGATACACCACTTCGTCCCATCGTCTCTACTATCAACTCCCCCACCTACAAACTGGCTCGTTTTTTGTGTGAAATCCTGCGTCCTTTCACTGGAAAAACCACCTCTGCGGTACAAAATTCTACTCACCTGGTATCGACAATCAAGGGTATTTCCCTGTCCCCAGACGACCTGCTTGTCAGTTTTGATGTAGTTTCCTTATTTACCAAGGTTCCTGTACCTGACACCATCGCAATCATTGAAGACTTGGTTCATCAAAGACTAAACACTGAGGTACCCCCCCTGGTGAGACACTGTTTAACCAATACATGCTTCACTTGGAATGGAACTTTCTACAAACAAACTGAGGGCACCCCAATGGGCTCCCCCCTATCTCCGGTTATAGCTAACATTTTCATGGAGAAATTTGAGACTGACGCCATCCAGACTGCCACTCTGCGCCCAACCTTATGGAAGAGGTACGTGGATGACACTTTTGTCATCTGGCCACATGGCCGGCCTGCTCTAGACCAATTCTTCGACCACATCAATTCCATATACCCAGCCATCAGATTTACCATGGAAGTCGAAAAAGATGGCAAGCTACCTTTTTTTGATGTCCTAATGAAAAAGAGACCTGATGGTTCAATGAGCCACTCTGTCTACAGGAAAGCTACCGATACGGATGCTTATCTGAAACCGGATTCCCACCACCATCCATCACAGAAGAATTATCTCATCAAGACTCTGTACCATAGAGCCCAATGCATATCCGACCAGGAACACATAGGCAGTGAACTCAAGCACGTACACCAAGCTCTTAAGGCTAATGGTTACTCCGACTATACAATCCGCAAAGCTATCACTCAAACCATGAAGAAGGACCCTCTTGAGGAGCCTTTCAAAACCATCATTTTACCCTACATTGCGGGGATCACAAAAAAGATCTCCAAAATCTTTAATAAACACAAGATCCAGGTCCGTTTCAACACATTACATAAAATCCGTGATCTGGTTCCGTCTGTAAAAGATGTGATTCCGGACATACAGTACCCTGGTGTCTACAAACTAAGTTGCCTCTGTGGTAGTAGTTACATTGGAGAAACCAAACGCCATGTCTCGGACCGCATTCGTGAACACAAAGTAGACCTTAAACACGGTAGGACCAACACCTCGGCCGTGACAGATCATTGTTATAATTCAGTAGGCTCACATGACATTGACTTTTCCAAGACAGAGGTTCTTTGTAAGGCATCTGGCTACCATGAGAGATTCGTTCATGAGGCTATCCACATATACAAGCACAGAGACAATTTCAACTGAGAAGATGGATTCTGGCTTAGCAATCATTGGAAAGATTTGATAAACCATTTCAGGTCTTAATTGATTGTTTGGCTTTCAGACAGCATACATTAATTTTTCATCTCCCCCCTCCTCTTTTCAGAACATAGATGGACTAGTCCTTCTAAATAAACTGCCAAATCGCTGCGCGTGGCGCTGACGTTTTTTTTATAAATAAATACACCGTTTATAAATAAATAAATTAATGCGAACCGACACACCTGATGACGACCGTTTGTGTTATGGTCGAAACGTCGTGAGAATTTTTATTGTTTTATATATATTTTATTGTTTCCCTTCAACGTGACTTTACCGAAAGAGCTAAGAATATGAATTACTGCAGTCACGAAAGCTTTAAATCAAAATTTAACCATAAGACAATTTAGATTAAAGTTATCAGGCTATCTCCGTACTTCAACAAACAAACATGGCTAAACCATACGTTTTCGAAATCACCAATATAAAGCTATAAAAACAATGTAAGAGTGATTATAAGAACTGTGATTCAAATTGAACAATAAACGATATACGTGACATGTACGACCAAACTTTGCAGCCATAGCTGGCTGCATGAGTCACTCCATAACAGCAGGAGTGTCAGCAGGAATATCAAAAATTTTCAATGCACCTTTAAAGATCAGCACACTATAATACAAACTCAAGATCATACTTTGCAGCGGTCATCCAGAGCGATGCATTTGATTTCAGGCCACTCTGCATAGCAGTGCCAGCGGCGGGTGTACAGCTCCTCAAGAGTAGTTTTGAGTGAAGATCTCACAGGTAGTGATCCAAGTTGCAGTTTATTGGCGATAGCATTCCAGACTCTGGGGGCATCAACAGCAAAGGCCCTTCCTCCAGTATTTGTACGGCAATAAGGAATATGAAGCTGGTAAATGAGCGAGGACCTTAGGTCACATTTGTTCTTCGAAACAGTGAGGAGATCCAGCAGGTTATATCGATGAGACCTTTCGTCAATATGAAAAAAATTCTGAAAAATGTTAATAGGCTTTTGCCTTTTCTGTCAATAAAACAGGAAGTGTTAAGATGCTCAAACACCAAATATAAACCTTTTACAAAGCGTTGAGTCTGCATTAACCACACGTACTTGTGGTGAACACGCAAACAAACTTGCTCTGATAATTACAATAAATGGCATTGTCTTTGAAACTGATTGGCCTACACAACACCAGAGACGGCCTTCTTCATGGCCCAGTCTCATGAGTGTCAGACCAGAGAACAACGCCCAAAGGCGAACAGTAACAAGGACAATGCAAGTATCAGAACACGTACAGCTTTTTTATTATGACCTGTGGACTCTGGAGGACTCCGTAGTATTGATATTTCCTAACTTGGTGCATGGCGTGCCATGAGATCCTCCAGGATGAACCGCCACGCCTTACACACGTAAGGCATTATTATTGTTATTTATGAAATCATTAAGCATTGCCATGCCGCGGGCCGTACTGCATTTCCGAGGAACCCTGCGACTGAGCGCGAACCTCGGTCGCATTTTAAAACGGTTCCCCCGCAAGCGAAGCGATATTTACCCTTAGCCACGCGAGTTCGATACGAGATACTTCGCGGGGGGGGCGGGGGTCTGGCAAAAGAGTTGCTTCTAAATCTGGCCACGCTGTGTCACCTATTATTTACCTCGTCTTGAAATCGCTTGCTGCTGAAATTGTGCACTCTCCGGAAAGGCCGAGCGGTTAAACGGGTGGTGTAAGAAATACGTTCATGTTGTTGTTGTTATGCGTTGAGAGAGGAGGATATGTGAACGATACAGTTTGTCTGCTCATTGCTTATATTCTGCACAATGACGCAAACTCATATTTGGAGTGATTGACTTTCAAGCAGAGTTAGAGCAGTATTGCGTACGAATGGTACATTAAATGCGTGCAGTCCCTGGCCTGATCAAAGCTTAGTTGCGTGACTGATGTGTGGTGACTATTATGCCTGTGATAGTGATCAACCCTCCACCTAAAAGTGATTGGATGAATTGTCAAGATTCAATTAATCGTGATTCATTGTGTTTTTTTTTACTTCATACGTTGGCCCTCGCAAACAATATTACGATTCATAATTACAGTACTAAATATTTTGCGGGGCACAAGCGCTTTGAGGCCACTTGAATGTTCACAATTCTCAATACATCTGTCATTAGGAAGCCACTGGTGCAATGCATTTTTCAACCATCTACATGGAAAATTCATTTATTTAGAACTTTTTTTGTATTTAGTTTGTTGTCCTTCTCCCACATCTCTGATTAGTGCCGTGGGCTGCGTACGGTGCGAAATAAGTTCAACATGCATATGAATCAATTTGGGGAATACAATTTTCCCCTCTCATTTTGACTTGCCATTTCGTTTCGTGCTCTTTCTCCTTCGTCGCCGTTGGCTTCACAAGCCCCAGTCGGCTTTTTCAAACCGCGGGCAGACAGACGACAGCACTTCCCTCCACGTGGCGCTCGGCAAGCCGCGGGGATGGAGGAGCGATACGTCGCCTCGATGGTTCTGAGCGGCGTCGGCGATGCGCTGGGCTACCGCTCCGGCAGGTGGGAGTTCTGCCGCAGCGGCGAAAAAATCGCGGAGGAGCTTGCCGCCCTGGGTGGGCTGGACGGCCTGCACCTCACCCCTTCCGGCGGGTGGCCCGTCAGCGATGACACGGTCATGCACCTGGCCACGGCGGAGGCGCTGGTGAACGCGTCCGCGAGGGCCGACGCCGTGGGCCCCGATGGACCGCTGTACCCGGAGATCGCGCGGTGCTACAAGGCGTGCATGAGTGACATGAATGGACGGGCGCCAGGTACCTTGAAATATTTTTTTTTAACCTTTCACGCTAACTCACGACCGTGACGCCACGTGCGAGCGAGACGTATACAGCGGCACATCAAGGACGGCTGCCATGCTACACTCGGTGGCGGTGACATCAACACGACGCTTGTTGCCAGGCTACAAGCGCTTTGAGGACACTGGAAGTGTTGTTGAATCTCAACACATTTGCCAATAACACTGCGGCCTTTTAACAGAAAGGCAACACGGTGTTATGTAATAGGTGACGATTCGGGTAATGGACCTTCTTCATAGCACGTACATCAAGGGTCAATGACACGTAACTTCGCGTTTTATATAAAAAAAAATCCTTTGAAGGCCATGGTGTTGTTGATATGCGTGTCGAATTTTGTCGTTAATTGTGCTTGTTGTGCACCACTGATAATAAAATTGTAAAGTGTTGAAGGCTAGCTAGTAGGAGGTAACGAGACAGTACCCGGGCGGTGTGGTTTGGCTGAGATGGCGATGACACGACCACAAAAGACAAAGATCCCCCATATAGCCTTAACAGACTGTTGGGGCAAGTGCTGTTAGCGAGCACCTATGAAGGCCGGCAACAGTACACGAGGGGGTGGGTGGCCAACACCACGCCTGGCCGCATTTACCTCCCAAGTGGCGATATTTACACACCGCACCAGGTACTCATTTGAGGCTGAGTCGACCTAGCGGGGGAGGCCCAGGACCGGTTCAAACATACATGCGACTGTTATCGGTCGTGAGCAGAAATCGAACTCGGGTCGCCGGGTTCATAGCGCGCCGCGCTAACCGTTGTGCCGCCGCTCCCCACGACCGCACGCACACACACGCACAGGTCTCACGTGCATGTCGGGAGCCCGATCGCTGCGGCCGTCCGTGCGGCTCGGCTGGACGACGCCGTTCAACCCGCGCGGCGGCGGCTGCGGCGCCGCGATGCGCTCCATGTGCGTGGGGCTGCGCTACCCGTCGCCGCGCCGCCTCGCCGAGCTGCTGGCCGTGAGCGTCGAGTGCGGCCGCATGACCCACCACAACCCCACGGGCTACCTCGGGTCGCTCGCGTCGGCGCTGTTCGCCGCGTACGCCGTGGCGGGCAAGCCGGCGCGCGAGTGGGGCGCCGGGCTCATGGCCACGCTGCCGCTGGCGGCTCAGTACGTGCGCGACGCCGGCCGGGACGTCGACGAGAACCTCGCCGCGTGGTGAGTTGGAAATTCATCGCGCGTAGTCGGGGAATAGACCGTTCGCGCCAAACGTGTGGCCTCTTGCGACAGCATTTGCGTAAACCGCTCGTGCTGCCATACACCGGTGTCTCGAGCGATTTGTTTGATCCACGGATCACAGGGTGGGGGGGGGTACGACCATGGGGGGTGGCGCCTTTCCTTTCAGGGTCGCACTCCACTTCGAACGCCAACCGCCAACTGAAGTGCGCAATTTGATTTCTAAAGCTCGTTGTTTAAAGCTTATTGCCGAGTTGTTGGCTATGTACGGTGCGAAAGAAGTTCAGCATACCACCACCACTACCGCTCGCCGCTCATCACCACCAATGATCAGCACCACTGGCCTCCCACTCGTCATCTCCACTCGCCACTCATCGACAGCACTCGCCACCACCGCCACGACTCACCCGGCTCCTCTCATCTCAGGAGCTACTTCGAGGACAGCTGGCGCCGCTACCTGGACATCCGCGGCATCTCCGACGGCGCGAGCGAGCCCTCGTTCCCGGCCGCTCACGGCACCGTGGCGGGGCGCGACGCCTTCTACAAAACGCTGAGCCAGAGCGGCTGGGCCGGCGCCAGCGGGCACGATGCCACCATGGTGGCGTACGACGCCGTGCTCGCCGCCGGCGACTCGTGGAGCGAGCTGTGCGTGCGCGGCGCCCTGCACGGCGGGGACAGCGACTCGACCGGCGCCATCGCGGCCTGCTGGTGGGGGGTGGTGTACGGTTTCGCTGGCGTCCCCGCGGGACACCACCAGCAGCTGGAGTACCGCAGCAGGCTGGAGATGAACGGGCGCGAGCTCTTCAAGCTCGCCGAGAAAGATTGCGGCGATTCGGGGGTGGGAGTGTGAAGCGGTGGTGGTCGGTGGGTGGTTCGGTGGTGGTCACTCCGTACAATTCCTGAAAGTGAGATTTCCCCTCAGTTCACCGCTGATTTACATCGCAAACTTGAAGGGAGAAATTTCACTCGAGATTTTTTGTGCGTCTGACTTTAATGGCAACCCGTAAAATATTGTATACGTAAACCGAGCACACCGCAACCAATATTATTATGATAGTACTACCTTTTTTGCCCGTTCAAGGACGGGTGTACAGTAAAACCTTGGATTGCGAGCATAATTCGTTCCGTAAACGTGATTTTAATCCAAAGCACTCGTATACCAAAGCACTCGTATATCAGTTGTGATCACGTGACGCTCGGCAGACAACGCGTATACGGTACTACTCGTATTGCAAGACCTCGCTCGTTTAGCGAATTCATATTTAAAATTTTTGCCCAGCTTGCAAAACGCTCGCAGACTTAAGTAATCCAAGGTTTTATTGTATATTGCAGTAAATCTGAAATATTCAGCTCATTATTAATGAGGGGTGGTTGCCCCATTTGGAGTGACGTCACCCGCTAATGGTTATTAGGGAGGGGTGCGGCATGTGGACTGACGTCACCCGCTCATGATTATTAATTAGGGGAGGGGTGCGCCATGTGGAGTGCGCGACCTTGTGCGTTAGTGTAAATTTCCACACGGGCATGAATATTAATGAAAGGGGGCGGCCTCTTTTGCAGTGACGTCACACACGGATGTAGCACTGTGCTGCGTAGATTTAATTTTTACCGCCACTTTCTGTAAAGAAACGTCATATTTGAAGCGACTTTACGTAATCAATAATTTAATTCAGCTCGACCTTCCTCTGCGTTCGTGTAAAAATCCACCCACTCATGAATATTAATGAGGAGGAGGGGGTGGCCCTCATGTGGAGTGACGTCACCCGGGGGGTGGGCCTCGTGTGGAGTGACATTTCTGGGTGATTATAATTATAGTAGGTCATTGATAATTTGCTACATTTTCGATTCATCGCTTGTTGCAGAGTAGCGCGGTTCGAATCCATCGGTCATCGCGGTTATGTTTGTCGGTATATTAACTGTAAATAGGTCAGCATGTTGATTGTTTACTTGCGGTGGGGGCTGGTGGAGGGTGGGAGAGGGGCAGTGTTTCATGTGTAACACTGAAAATAAAAGTGCAGCCTTGCATACAGTTGTGTACGTGTGTCTGGCGGTGGCTCAGCAGTAGCGTGCTGCGCTATGAATCCGGCGAACCGAGTTCGATTCCCTCTTATGGCCAACACCAATGACGATTATCTGAACCAGTCCCGGTCCTGGGCTTCCCCTAGGCCGACTCAGCCTCAAATGAGTACCTGGTGCGATGTGTTCGCATTGCCACTCGGGAGACAAAGGCTGACAGGCGTGGTGCTAGCCACCCACCCCTCGTGTGCAGTGCCAGCCTTTATAGGTGCTCGCTCATGCCACTTGCCCCAAAGAAAGTATATTAAGGCTATACGGGGGATCTTTATTTGTATTGGACCCATACCACGCCACTCGATGCGTCCCTCAGTCAAATGTCGGTGGACTGATCATACACTCGATCATCCACTCAAAGGAGTAACCGAGTGTTTTTGTGTTGATCAGTTTCCCGAATACTTAATAGTTGTTGCTCGAGTATAATTCAATATCGGCCACATGAATGAATAACCCAAGTGTGAAGGGAGAGGGAAGGAGTTTATGATGGTTGCTAATTACCTCTAAATGGCGGCTTGTGATTGGCTGGAGCGTCTCTGAGATTTTCTCTTTTCGCCGTGGCTGCCTCTGCGGGAGGGCTTTGAAGTGGACAATGGGAAGCCAAAACATCCTTATTGGCAAGGCGCCCCAAGCGCATCATCGATCGATTTCTTCATATTGATCCTAAATCATTGGACATGCCAAAATAACTTGTGAAAATTACTTAAATGGCCCTCTTTAAAACTAAAATTATTTTGAACATCGTGTGTTATGTCTAAAATGTGTTATTGTGATGAACATAACATAGTTTCGAAGCAAATTTTTAAGGTGGGGGGCACCATCTGAACGCCCCACAAGAGACCAGCCGGCGTAGCTCAACTGGGGCAATGCATAGCAACCATCGCATTGATTTAAAAAACGTGGCAGAACTCTCTTGCAAAGGGGCCATGAGACTCAGTGAGGTAAACAAGCATATATGTTGTGTACCTAAACTATTTGGTGAAACACCGCGTTGGGAGTGCTGCACAAGCACAAATAACACAAACAACTCGCTTGTCAAAAACACTGCCATATAAGGAAACATAGGTAATGGCCCCTCTACATTCATGCCATATATTGATATACTGTGAAAGACCATTGCCTGAAACGTCGCCTCATGTTATTTAATTTAAGGCCACTGTTATTTGATGAACGCGGTTAGTAGTTTGCACTATTTTGAACTTCTTTCGCACCGTACGTAACCAATCGTGCTAATCCGAGGTGCGTGTTATTGTGCAGGGGTATTGCAGTTTGGTAGGGTGTGTGGTACGTTTCCTTGGGCCGCGCTACTCCATTGTTCTCACTCATAAGCGCTGTTCAGATATTTTGGTTTTCATTTTATGAAAAAAAAACAATCCTCTAAGACAAAGAGCGCTATAACGAATCAGCGCACTCTACCTGTTCACGTTAAGCAAGGTCTTCCTATTTAAAGCTTTCGTGACTGCAAGGATGCATCCTCTTTGGTTCTTTCGGTAAAGTCACGTAGAATGAGAATAAAATAATTAAATAAAACAATAAAACTAAAATAATAAATTGATAAAATAAAATATGAAGGCCGCTTGTGTTGTGGCCGAAACGTCGTGAGAATATTCTGTTATTTTATTTTATCAATTTATTATTTTATTCTTCTTCTTTGGTTCTTTCGGTAAAGTCACGTAGAATGAGAATGAAATAATACATTGATAAAATAAAATAACACAATATTCTCACGACGTTTCGGCCACAACACAAGCGGCCTTCATCAGGTGAAGGGACGAGACTGTCTGGTAGGACAGCGCTGGATAACCAAAGAAGATGAATCATTGCAGTCACGAAAGCTTTAAATCGAAATAAAACAATACAATTCTCACGACGTTTCGGCCACAACACAAGTAGCCTTCTTCAGGTGAAGGCCGAAACATCGTGAGAATTGTATTGTTTTATTCTATTCTCATTCTACGTGACTTTACCGAAAGAACCAAGAATATGAATCCCTGCAGTCACGAAAGCTTTAAATAAAAATGTAAGGTCTTCCTGGTTTACGACTGGCGTCCTTAACAGGGGCTGGCACGTGGCTACGGGGTGACGTCATCGGCGTGTAACCAATCCGCGTGACATCCACGTTCCGGGGCCGCCGCGTGGGGGTGGGGTGGAGCGCCCCCCCCATAGTCTCCGCCCCGCCCCCCCGCGTCATCATCGACGTCATCGTCACCCACAACCACCTCCATTACCGTCGTTTCGTTTTTTTATTTCACCAATTCGCGAGAGACGATGATGTGCGGCGGCTTCACGTGCTCGAAGAACGCGCTGTGCGCGCTCAACGTCATCTACATCGTGAGTTCGGCGCCGCTCTGCGAGGGGTTTTTTTTATTTAACAAAAATTTTTGGTACGGAGGGCGCCCGTTAAGAACCTGGTGGGTGGCGGGTGACGTCACCGCGCTTTGTATTTCGCACTTCGCTTGGGCGCGACGGCGTGCGTCCATTGGCCGCCGAGCCCGCGCGTGGTGCCCGAATGCGCGCGTCCCATTGGTCGCCGCGCCTGTGCGCTGTACGGTTTCCAACGGCGCGGCCTGCGCGCTTTAGGCCAGTGTTAAAGGGGCCGTTATTCGCCTGAACAAAAATTAAATAAACTTTAAATGTTTACACTAATTGAGACGCTCAATTATTATCATTGTTGATGAGAGATACGGTAGTGAGTAATGATAACCGATACATTGTTCACGGGGAGGTGTTTCTTTGTTATGGTTTAATAATGCCACCAGTGGGTTTCTCCCGTAAACAATCATAACTGTCACAATAATAATGATAATGTAAATCGAACGGTTATACCGGTAACAAACCTTGTGCCATGAATATAAATGCTCTCATATTGACCAACAAAAGTAATGTCAAACGGCAAAGTGATTACCTGTACAAGTGAATACAGTTATTGAAGCGTTGGTGCTCATCAGAGGAATCCGATGAGCTATAAAGCTCTTACAGATGTCGAGTCGACACGTAATGTCCTGTTTACAGCCCTGAGACAGAGTCTGAAATTCCGCATTTCTATGGCAGAGGGGTGAATGTATCCACGTGATAAACGCTACTGGTTTCCCCACAAAGTGGTGCCGAGTGTATCGACCCTGCCGGGATGATGGGCAGAGTCAACCCCCAGGCAGGATTTGAACTCTCAGCCTGCAGATTGAGAGCAGCGCATTCTTGCGACGTGCATCGTGCCTTGTTTTTTTACAAGCAACATTTTATAATTTAACTTTTTAACTTATACAAAGTAATACGTTTTAGTAATTCATTTTTAATGTTGAAGGATTTGTCGGTAAACTATGCCATTTGAAAAAAAAAACTGGTCATCAGAACACATGTTTAAATGTAATTCCCATTAGGCCCCATGGTGTGAAGTACAGTCGCCAACTTTTATGAACTGTCCTCTATTTATCCTATGACGTAGGGCCATTGCCCGAAATGTCGCCTATTATGTTTTATTTTAAGGATCTGTTATTGACCAATATTTTGTAGGTATTTTTGTTGTGCTGCACTGCCAAGCGAGTATCACCAAATAATTTGTTTCATATAATTTAGGATCATATTTACAAGGTTTAACATTTCCCCCCTTTAGACGGAGAGAATGCATGAATGTTTTCTACCCTTGTTTTAAAGCGGTAAACAAAAAAAACTCTTTACGCCCCATGAATTATTGCTGGAGCAACAGCTCCCGTATTGTGTGTGTACTTATCCACTGCTGATAACAGCCAACTGAGAATACGGTCATTGACCAGGGTCCTTCTGGTGAGCGATTATGTTTTTAAAACGGAGATGGCCCAGTTAGTTTGAGTTCTTTGAGTGACCACGGTTTCATAAGGCCCACTCAGCAACGTAGCTCTTTTTCAGAAACGACCTGGCCACAAATGATAGCTCAACGAAGTGGCTTATCATCATGTGGAAATGTATAGCAGCCGAATACTCTAAAATAACTCGCTGGTCTCCAGGATGGCTAACAGCAAGGTGTTTTTTTTACCTCTGTGCGAACCTATGAGTTTTAGACCAAATACTTTCTATCTGGGCTCTCCAGAGCTCCCTCTAGTAGAGAGAGGCCCTTTTCCTAGCAGTGGCATTAGCAAGTATTTGCAGGGCTGCACCATTATCCTTTTTATAGATTCATACAAATATATGCAGTAAACCCTTGTCAATTAGATACATGGGGCTCCGGCCTTTGCCGAAATATTCAATATTCTGAATTACAGTATGTACAATGGTACTCCACAGTGCCTCCTGCCCCAATAAAAAATAATAATCCAAATTTGTTTTACGTATAATATTTTCCACAAAAAGTAGCACCATCAGTAATCAGCACTGCAGGCGAAGGAGGAGGATGTGGTAGGTTCCATGTGGTAGGTGACGGAGGTTGTGGAGGGGGGCTTAATTCACTTAGTATTTAGGATGCACTTACTGACCTGAGGACTATAAAGTCCAAAGCAACAGGTCTGCACACACGCTCACCACCTGCGCCGCCACTAGACCGAGTCATTGTTTAAGTCGTGGCGTGCGGGGTCGCTCCACGTGTGTGCTGAAATTGGACCATTCGGTACGGCAATTCGGCTCATGGCGAAGTACTAATATGCTGTATATATGCCAAACCGCAGCCGTGCCGAATTATCCCCAATTACGAATGATCAAATACCGAAATAATGAGGTTTTACTGCATATAGATTGACACGTTCTTAGGTCGGGCTAGTCAGCAAGCGGCTTTGCCTGTCTACGTGTCGCGCTCAAATTTGTCGCAGATCGTGGGCCTGCTGCTCATGGCCATCGCAGGCTGGGGACTGGGCTACGGCGTGGTCAACACCATCTCGCTCATCGGCGGTGTGGTCGCCGTGGCCATCTTCCTCTTCCTCATCGCCATCGTAGGGCTCGTGGGAGCCATGAAGCACCACCAGGTGCTGCTCTTCTTCGTATCCTCCACTGTTGGCAGCGGGGTGTGCGGGACACGTGAAACGCCTGTGGGGGCCCCTTTGCCGCTGCCGTAGCCGAGTTGTGCTGGGACCGTGCAAGAGCCAGGCCGACGTGGAATAAACTTTTAAACTAAACTATTTTCATTTGGTCAGGTAAGGCCCACTGAGCTATACAGCTCTTTTTCAGAAACGACATGGCCATAAATGATAGCCCAAACGAAGTGGCTTATCATCATGTGGAAATGTAAAGCAGCCAAATACTCTAAGCCAGTGGTTATTAACCGGTGGTGCACTCACCCCTTGGGGGTGTGAGATGCCCTTTATGGGGGTGTGAGGCATGCCAGATTTTTTTAGAAGGTAAATAATTTAAACAAATTAATCACGGGCACGTGAGTACAACTACTTTGTTTAATAAAACCTACATTATAATATTTTTAACGATTCAGAACCAAAGGGGTGCAAGGCTGCAGAAAAGGTTAAGAACCACTGCTTTAAGTGCATGTTTATAAATGTGGAGGGAAAAACCAGAGGACCCGGACAAAAATCCACGTGACCACGGGGAGAACATGTAAACTCCAAATATACGTTCGTTATGGTCAGAATCCAATCTCTGACTTCATGTATACCAGGCGAGGGAGTTAACATCTCGTCACCACGGCACCAGGTTGTCTTCCCACTGCAGAAACCTCAGTATACTGACTGATGACACCTGACCCCGCTAGCTCCTGAGACACATTCAGATGCCAGCATATCACGGTTTGGTTCCGGCTCTGCACGGCACATAGCCGATGGAAAGCCGCCTGTACTGTGAGTACTCCACACTGTCTTGGCTCGGATGTGCCATTATTATTAAGGATAGTAGTTTGCAAAAAATAAATTCACGCCATTCGTTGTATGAACTGGTACCAGCTTGACCCCACCATCATATTAGTATGTCAGTAATTTACCCTCCAATTGTATAACAAGATCCCTCAGATCCTCTGGTACTGGTCTTTTAGTCGTCCCCAAAGGTCAGGACCAAAACCTACGGAGAAGCAGCTTTTAGTGTATACGGTCCTCGCCTGTGGAACAGATAGCCAGGGCATATGAGGGCCTCAGAATCATTAAGCACTTTTAAAATAAATCTAAAAACTTACTTTTTTAAACTTGCTTTTAATTAGGATGTTCTTAATGTGTTGTTTTTATGATGTCTGCTAGAAATTTTTTTACAACATAATTTTATTTTGCCTAGAATTTCACTTTTATTGTTCATGCCTGTAAAGCACTTTGTATTTAATTTTTTTTGCACGAATAGTGCTATAGAAATAAAGTTTGATTGATTGAAATATAGTTTCGGTTGGTAAAATACGTTATTACCTTTGCAGTCATGAGTAATTTAGATACATGCTAAATTACTATGACAATATTTACGAAAATACATTTTCTGTAATATTTTGTTTTCAATGAAACAAACTATTAACTGTCGTAGTTTAGTGGTACACATGACTCAACGCTCCTTCGTGGCTCGCGAGGGTCACGTGATTGCCAATCAAGCTGTGCAGCCAAATTGGCAATTGCTCCATAAGCTTCGAATTGTTGAATTGTTTTATATACTTTCACGTAAATTATTTTATTTCCCGTTGTCTGCAACAGCACGTAGCACGTTTTCTACCAGACATAACAAGCACGTTTTCTACCAGACATAACAGTTTAATCGGGATTGCTTGTTGCTTCGTACGTCATGCCTTGTACAGCTTGGCACTAATGTCCTTTCTTTGAACCACATTCCAAGCGGTATTTTCTTTAACAAGAGCGCACGCAGTACATCGTCATCCTGTTTTTGCTGTTCATCGTACAATTCAGCGTGTCTTGCTCCTGCCTCGCCTTCAACAGTTCCCAGCAGGTATGGCGGACACTCCACACCGTCTTCACACTTTAATCATTCCTAAAGTGGGATTTGGGATTTTTACTGGCGCCACGGTGACGAGATGTTGTATCCCTTGCCTGGTATACAGAAGGTCATGGGTTGAATCCCGACACTGAAGCCTGCTGTATATTTGGAGTTTGCATGTCTCTCTCCCCGTGGTTGCGTCGATTTTTCTCAGCGTCCTCCGGTTTTTCCCTCCACATTTAGAAACATGGGAGTATTTGGCCGCTAAAAATGTCCTTGCAATAAGCCACTTTGTTGACCTATCATTTGTGGCCAGGTCGCTTCTAAAAAGAGCTATATTGCTCAGTGGGCCTTACCTGGTAAATTAAATAAAAAGTTAAATAGTTAGTAATTTGTAACGTGTCCAATTTTGTTTACGTTCTGGGAGAGAGAGGGAGAGAGGTTGAATAATTTAACTGGTGCCAACAGTTGCCCGAGCTCTGTGGTCCTACATTTGAATGTTTGGCAAAATCCGTGATTGAGCGCTCATTGAGTATCCGGAGAAACCGTCACGCGCGCGCGAGGGGCGTAACACTCGATCCACCCCGCGTACATTAACGGCGTGAGAAAGTCGGGAGGTCGTCGTGTGTGGCCCTCTTGGTACGTCGGGGAAATCGCGCACGCGTTTGGCTCCGCGCAGGAGACTTTGCTGAAATATGGCTGGAAAAGGCTGAGCAACAGAACGGTGGTCGACTTGGAGAAGAAGCTGGACTGCTGTGGGTTCTTTCAGCAGAGGCTCCCGGTGTGCTTGGCGGTGAGCAATATGATATCTCTCCCCAGCGGCACACTGCCATAGTTTCAGGTTAACATCGAACTCATGTACATGACCCGTGTGACAGTGGTAATTTGATTCGCGTTTTTTTATTATTTTAGCCATTCTCTTTGCCTAGTCGACAATAGTGTAAAACAAAAAAATGTGTCCACTAATTAAATGTTGGAGTTACAGCCGTGGAATTCTCTGCCCATTCCCCCAATATTGGTGAACTCGGTACGTACTTTTATACATGTATATAGTCAGACGAACAGACTTTGTTATCCATGCTGACATGGTGGGGATACATTCAGTTTCATAGCAAATTGCCGACTTATTCTATGAATAATCCATCTTTTCTAAAATTGTGCGCACCTGCAAAATTGACACTCGTGTGTTATGAGGTTATTTAAAAAAAAATATTAACTGCAAGGTTGTCTAAATGTGTGGAGCTGTCCTGGGCACTGTGTACACCGTGTATGCGGTAGCCTTCCTGTGCAGGTGCACGTGATGACAAGATGGTGCCAAAGAACACACCGTGCAAGCTCCCTGCATGTATGCGCGAGTAGAGTAAAACTCCGGCTAGCCGGATTTTGCATTTAGCCAAAAAAACTGGACCAATACTGGCTAACTAAAATGCATTCTTTCATGTATTTTTAATACAAGAACATAGTAAATATTTTTGTTTACATAATATACTTTCGGATGTGCTTTGGAATATGTTTTGTCACCTCCATGTGTCATAAAATGCATGAGAATATCTTGGATGTTGTGTAGTGTGTAAAGTATGTAATTGAAGTGTATTAAATGTACGTTAGTGGTGGGAGAGGGTCGTGGAGGATGGCGGGGGATGGGCGGGAAGGGCAATATGGGACGAGGTGGGGGATATGGGATAGTGGGAAGGGATGATAGGGGAGGGCGGAGGGGATGTGAGATGGATGGGAGGGGCGATCGAGGAGGACTGTGAAATGGTGGGTAAGGGTCATAGGGGAGGTCTGAGGCGGATGGAGGGGGTGATGCAGGTACCTTCAGATATAACTTCTGTATTGGGCATGATACACTACTCACACTACTATGTGTATAACCTCGTACTGTACACATATACCGCACAGTATACAGAGTTTGCTGTTTATTATTTTTGCAGGTTGATATTCAATGCAAATTGGAGGGTTGCCAGATTTTTTTGCCTAGCCGCACCGGGTACTCCGCCTCCCCCCCCCATTAATAGGGCTAGCTGGATTATTTACTGATATACAATTTGTGATCTCGCGCATGGCAATAGAACCTGTGTGTGGCCATCCTCGCAGGCTTGCCAGGAGAAACAGCATTGTAGCAACTGCGGCACGCTGATGTTGAATCACGCCAAGGAGGCCCTGCAGATCTGCGGAGGAGTTGGGCTCTTCTTCAGCTTTACGGAGGCGAGTAAACCTGGGTTACTCACTCAACCCCACTGGCAGAGCCGGATTAGCCCATGGGTTGAGCGACGGCTTAAACTGTGCTAAGAAGTGTTCGGAAAGAGGGCGAATGCCAGATATGTTACCTGTTTTATATTTATATATGTGTGCTGTTTAATTTGAAGGTACTTATTTATTAATTTGTTGAGTTTTCTGCGGGGGGGAAAAAAATTGCATTCCACCTGGGTCAGGATTGTTCACCAAATTGGAAACAGCCACTGGTAGTGTGTTGTCATAATCGTCTCTGTCACCATTGTCATCATCGTAAGCATCATCATTTTCATCATCATCATGGTAATAGACCAGCAGATGACCTTTATATAATGGTTCCAGGGGCAGTTGTGCATCTAACGTTGATGAATATCCAAGGACTGGTGAATGACGGACCGCGACTGAAGCTGCTCATGTTTTCAATTGTTGTTATCCTCACGCGCAGTGTCTGATGCCAGCACTTTTGTTTTCAGAACGATCGTAAATGTAATTGTCTGGTCTTTGAGGTCGCGCTAGTTGGAGTTGATCTGCCTTTGTAACGCTTTCCAACTTGGGTTAAAATAAAATAATAAATTGATAAAATAAAATAACACAATAAAATTCTCACGACGTTTCGGCCACAACACAAGCGGCCTTCATCAGGTGAAGGGGACGAGACTGTCTGACGAGACTGTTTGACAGTCTCGTCCCCTTCACCTGATGAAGGCTGCTTGTGTTGTGGCCGAAACGTCGTGAGAATTTTATTGTGTTATTTTATTTTATCAATTTATTATTTTATTCTCATCCTACGTGACTTTACCGAAAGAACCAAAGAAGATGAATCCTTGCAGTCACGAAAGCTTTAAATCGAAATTTGGGTTAAAATAATTTATGATTAGTTCCATCCATATGGGCATCTGTCGGTTCAGCCTTCCTTCCATAATGGGGGGGGGCACTATAACTCTTGTAAAGATGATCTATTGTGAACCAACCTGCAGTCTTAAAGTTGTGTTGCTATTAGGGACTTAGCCTATTGAAAACCAGCCAGATTGATCATTGATCAAAAGGTTACCCAAACCTTGGAGACACAAACCACAAACCAAGAGGACTATTGGAAATACGTGCAAACGGATTTTGCTCTGAGAGCTACCCATCATCAGATTCATGCTTCCGAAGACAAACGTGTGTTGGAAAGACATGAGGTTTTTTGGGTTAGATCGCGTAAATATAATTGTGTCGTTCAACCCGCCACCACCCAACAGCCAATTAGTAAGGTTTGTCACGTAAACAACACATGCCAATTCGTTACTAGTTCAGCACATCTAGCACTTGGCCTACATGTTGAAGTGGGTCACGATCCACGCGCGAGCATGATTTTTCGCTAACTTGGCTTTAAGTGTTTCGAATTGTTTTCGACCGCCACTTGAAGACACGCGTGGTGCGATTGCGTAACCTGCTGCCGCGTAACCTGTTGCCGCGTGTCCCGTCCGTGTGTGCGCGCTGTCACTCCGGCAGATCGTGGGAGTGTGGCTGGCGGCGCGCTTCCGCAACCAGAAGGATCCTCGCGCCAACCCGAGCGCCTTCCTCTAGGGCAGGGCCCCGGATGCCGTGTGATTGTGGGCCGGGTTTTGACGGTCGACTAAGCAGCGCGTGTCACCGTGAGTGTGGGAGCCATAATGTGTGCGTGCGTGCCTGTGGGCGTATGTGCGAGGTATGTATATGTATGTTGAGCTTCTTTCACACCGTACGTAGCCAACCGTGCTAATCGGAGGTGCGGGGGGGGGGAAGGACAACAAACCGAAACACAAGAAGCAGTTCGAAAGAAGTTCGTTTTCAAACTGGTGGAGAATGATTGAGCATTGCTGTGGTTAATATTCATCGCTAGCAACGTTCGAACGTCACTCCGGCCCGCCTCCCCCTCTCTTTCCCCCCCACCCCGCCCATGACCCCACTCCCCATCACCCCACTTCCCATCCGTCCATTTATCTCTCCAATATTTGCGTGGAGTAAAAGAAAACCCGTAGAGATATTCTTTCCAACGCACAAGCACGAGAAGCTGAAACGCGTTGTGTTGGTGAGAGGTGTAACGCGCCGCGTGAATTCCTCCCGCATTACCTTTGCTGTCTGCCTAAAATGCTGCCTACACACCACTGTACTTTTTTGTAAATCCGACACATCCGCAGTGATTGCATCGAGGGTACGCTCGTGTTGTGTGGTTTCTTTTTTTAGGATATTCGTAGTGGTTATACAGGGTGTCCGTGAAGGTGTAGTGCATTTAAAAAAAGAGTTATAATGACAGCAGGTTTGTCTAGGTCAAAGACAAAGATACCCCGTATAGCCTTCAAGTGCTGTTAGCGAGCAGCACCTATGAAGGCCGGCACGGCACACGAGGGCGTGGGTGCCCGGTACCACGCCCGTCTGCCTTTGTCTCCTGAATTGGCGATGTTTACACATTGCACCAGGTACTCATTTGAGGCTGAGTCAACCTCGGGGAGGTCCACGTCTGGTTCAAATAATGGTCACACACACGCAGCATTGTGAAAATCCCATCACACGAGTCTCTCATCTCATCCTCCACGTGTTTACCTTGGCGTTGGCAACACACTTGGTATTGAGATTTCAGAGAATCTCAGGTGTTGGAGAGCATCGCGGCTGTGTGATTGTTGCAAATACTTCTGTTCTGTTACCGTTTTAAAGTCACACGAGCATTATAATTTAACAAGAAAATTGTACGAGGAATATGTTGGCGGTATTTTAACTACGGCGTTCAAACTGCCGTCTGTAGTTTATTAATATCTTGATGAACAACCCTGCTTGAGACATTGTCAACATCCTGTCATTCGAGGCTTGCTGGATGTCGCTGGTGTAATTCGTCACCCACTTGCTTTCTTTCCAACTGCTCAGTTACCCAGTGGTGATGTCTGTACCCGGAAGGAGAAGCTGTGTTGTTTATTTTGTAATTCCGTTGCACCTGAAAGCAGTTCTGTGATATCTCCTTCCACGAGGCGTTCTATAACACGGGGTGATGCACCGCTTTTGCCGGAGTCACGGATTGGCTCTTGGTGGCACTTTGAATAAAACAAAAGACAAAAAAACCTCGTAACATTTATATCGAGACGAATTCTGATTGTGTGATTGTGCGGTCATGTATTCAGAAATCAGAATATGTATTTATGCTGGAGGAATCCGATGCGCAATGAAGCTCTTTTTCACAGATATCCAGTAGTATTGATCTGGTGTTCCTTTGGAATACTTGCGGTTGCATAGCAAGTCGTATTGAGCGTTGTGGACATTCATGCGGCTCTTAAAACTTCAGCCGTACATTTCCACGTTGGGTAGTCGAGCATGTCAGTTTGAAGGTAACGGCGAGATGATTAATTCATTTGTGGGTGCAAGGCTTAACTTCGCCACGGCACGTACGCCGAGCGGTTATTCTGGCGCTGTTTCTGCTTGCGATGTATCCGTAACCGTGGCGGATTTGTAAAGATCGCTGTCGAGAGAAAGGCAGAAAAAAAGTAACACTTTGGCCATGCTGCGAGGGATTGACACCGGCGTCTGGTGTCGCCGCAGATTTAAGGGAAAGAATGAAATGTTTTAATAGTCAGGGCCATGTAGAAGGATGTCTGTCCGTGGGGCTTCTTGCCTTGCTTCCTCGTGCGTGCCCTTGTGTAGGGCAGGGTGACACGACCGGGCGGGAATGCGTTTGCTGCAGATGTTTGCGGTTCGCGGCTGATGGCCGCCCTGGTTTATGCTGCGGGTGTATTAACCATAAATGATGATGATTTTTAAAAATTCATTTTTTTGTGAAATTCGCACTAGGCTTCAAAGCGCTTTACAGAACGCTTGTTTAGTATTGGAGAAAGCCTGTTGTAAAAACAGGTCAGTTTTTAAGACGTGATTTAAACAGTGTAACAGACTCCGATACCCCCATGGACCCAGGAAGGGAATTCCACAATTGGGGAGAGCCTGGCTACACAAAGCTCCATCTCCCACAGAACAAAGTCTGATCTTTGGAATCATTAATAATGAGGAGACCACAATCATCATATCTAAGTTTCCGCAGTGGAATATCAAAGTTCACCAGATCGGTGAGATGTTTAGGAGCCAACTCATTCAAGGCCTTAAACGATCTCAGTTTGCTCGAATTTTACTTGTTTGGGAAGAAAATCCACAACGGTTTCATCATGCCACCCCCCCCCCACCCCCGGCAGGCTGGTGCTGCTTCCAGCTTGCGTCACGTAGGGAGGGCTGCCAAGTTTGGCACCCCAACGAATGGACTGCTGCACGGCAATGGAATGAATTAAATTTCGATTTAAAGCTTTCGTGACTGCAAGGATTCATCTTCTTTGGTTCTTTCGGGAAAAGTCACGTAGAATGAGAATAAAATAATGAATTGATAAAATAAAATAACACAATAAATTCTCCAGCGCTGTCCTCCAGACAGTCTCGTCCCTTCACCTGATGAAGGCCGCTTGTGTTGTGGCTGAAACGTCGTGAAAATTTTATTGTGTTATTTTATTTTATCAATTTATTATTTTATTCTCATTCTACGTGACTTTACCGAAAGAACCAAAGAAAATGGAATGAATTGTCAGGCTGAGATGTGATGTAAGCCCCTGTACTCTTGAGATGCTGAGGTGTTTTAAGCGAGCGCCGCTGTAACATGCAAATACTTATCCTACGTTCGCGGACAATTGTGGATGCGTCGAGGTCTCAGGATGTGAGTCTCCCCTGCAAATTAAAAGTCTTCTACGTAGTCCGGAATTCGTAGCGGATGAATCTTGCTTCAGTTACCATACATAGTTCAGTATTTTTTGTTCAGCATAGTTAATAAAAAATATATTTGCGTTTGGCCGCAATATGAAACCTCGTTGACAGGGCCAATCGCTTCTTATCGTGAACAGTGTTGCGTTTTCAAAGTAGCAATGGTGTGTTCACTGAAAGTAATATATGTGAATTGTAAAACGGAAAAAAATGAAATTTGGTATTTACAACCGATGTTTTTGTGCGCTGCTTTTTTCTTCCGCGAATGGGGCTCGGTGTGTGTGTGTTGTGACCGCGCAGAGAGAGGACTCTTAAGCAACGTCAAATCGACGTAGAACCGGCGCTTAATTTCTCGATTGAGCTGTCATTTGTGATAGCCAGGTCGCTTTTGAAAAAAAAGAAGCTATATAGCTCAGTGGGACTTACCTGGTGAAGTAAAATAAAACGTTGAATATGCTTGCTTGTGGAACGCTGCTTGGCTGCGTGACATCGTGACATCAACACCGTGTCGCGCAATTTTTGTTTTACTTCACGGTCATTTGTGCCATCGTCATCATCATGTGCATGCCCCTCGGGACGTAGCAGTCCCCACAAGGCGCCAACCAGGCAGAGTTACATTTTTTTAAAAGCTTCAATCAAGGGTGGGCAATCCCAACAATGTGTCCTGATATTAAAGAATCTTAATTTTTGGTTACATAGCGGCGAATGGTAGCACCTCTAGTGGCTACGGACGTGATCTGAGACCCATTACGTGCAACATTTAAATTGTAAAGTTTCGATTTACCATGATTCAGTGTATGTATTGCGAGCTTAAGTGTTGATTACGGTAATCTGTGCACAATTTGCACCGACAGTGTTTTGCTTCACGTAGGAGGAAACCGGAGAATCTGCAGAAAACCCACCATGCTTGCGATGGGATAACTCTTATAGAGAGCAGTTCTTAACCTGGGGTGCACGCACACCTTGGGGGTGCGAGACGTGGCCACATTTTTTTGGTAAGGTAAATCATCAAATTACGATTGAGAACAAAAGGGGGGTGGTGGGGGTGTGCAAGGCTGGAGTTCAGGTTAAGAACCACTGTCTTAGAAGCTCCGCTGTTCAGACGGGTTTTACGATCCCGCTTGCTGTGCTGCCACCTCGGAACCCCAGCGGCTTGGGGAGTTTCACAGCACATGACTACGCGCCTCCGCCGCACCCCCGGTTATCACGGTTGGGCAACGCACGGTGCGAAAGAAGTTCCACATGCATGCGAACGTGAAGCGAGAGCAGCATTCGTCGGCAACCGTTTGTCGTTCTCCGAGCAGAAGGGGGTAGGCTACGTCCTCTGCTACGGCTTCGGGTCTTTTAACGTGGTCGCCCGACCCTCCGCATCATCCGTGGCCTACAGTGTGGGGGCCGACGTCCACCCCACCGCCCTCGCTGGGCAGGTGGTGCGCGATGTCCGGCCCCTTTCCGCTCCATCCTCCACCGCGTCGGTCGGCTCCCGCCGGGCCCCTGCCGACCGAGTGATCGGGGGCCCCCCGCGCGAGCGACCTCTCTGAGGTGACACGCTCGTGCTGCTGGCTCGCCGCCGCGCGAAGTTAACCCGCGCACGCCCGCGTCCGCCGCAGCTAACGCTAGCGCAGCAACACGGCGGTGCGCCCACACCTGCGGGCGAATACCTCACCCCGCGCGCCCTTGCGGCTCCGCGTCCACTTCTCGCAGCGCGTTTCCCCACGCAGTCACCCCACACGCAAATCACAGACACCGCCGCACCGATGCTCTGCGCTCACTTTTATTCGCGGCGCAAATGCGCACTACCCGCGGGAATATTTTGCGAGAAGAGCCTAGCCTACTGCTCTGTCTTGAGTGCCCAGTCACTCAACGTACCTCGAAGCTGTTACTCGCGGCGTCGCACGGACGCTGTGAGAGTCGGAGGGAGAAGGACGAGAGAAAACTTCGCCTATCACTGCCTCGTAGCAGCACTCGCTGGCATCGCACGGATGCTTGCGAGCGGCTCGATGAGGCAGGACGGCAGGGAGTGGGTCTTGGCAGGTTGAAGACGAGACCTGAATCGTCCCGGGCTACTCTTCTTATCCCCCGAACTTAAAAAGCCCGGGGTGGCATCGTACTGCGCGGCCAATCGTGCGCCTACCTGTGGTTACCGCCTACCTGGTACTGCGTCCTCCGTGGAGTGCTGCGTGCTGCCGCTCCTACCACCAATTGTAGTCCCGTGCTCATTAATTCTGACCTCATGGTCTGCTCTTCTTGCCTAATATTCCACCCTCGGCCCCTCCCGATGTCGTGAATGACTCATTGCGGCTGGTCCATTGAACCTCTTTGGCGCCCAGACAATGTGAAGCGCAACTCAGAGGCACCGCAATGTGACCTGTCCTGCAAGGGTCGGCCAATCTCCTGGCACCGGGAAACCGTGGGGGACTTTCCTCCTCGGGATCCTTCGGATTAAAGCCCGTCGTGCCAGGCGATCCCCCGCCAGGACACCACGTGTGTGCGCTGCGTGTGGGTGCTCGTTGTGTGTGCTCAGCGTGGGGGCCAGGAGGGGGTCGCGGTGCAGGCAGAGTTGCTCCGCGGCCGTGGCACCACAACAGTATTCCCTGGTTATTCGCGAACTTGCTGTCCTCTGTTTTGGCTTTCTGCGAATGGCATCTGAACTCGGCACGGCTGCAGAGAGAAAGTGATGAGATTAAACGATGGGATAATTTCCATGTGTTTAATAGTTTATGTATTTATTTAAGGTAATTCATTAACAAGATAGGTTTTCGTAGGCCAATATCATTATCCGCGAAACTTGCTATTCACGAGCGAATAATAGCGAATATTCGTGAAGGTCGCTGCAGCGGAGTTGGACGCAGTCGCCCTCCAGCAACAACGGAGGGGCGAAGGAGCGACGCTCACAACAACAAGCAGATTGCCGGGCGGCTAAAATGCAGAAAGTTGGCACAGTGGGGAGGACAGTTGGTACATCTGCCAGTCATCTTAGTCAACTCATGGCACTTGGGTGTGTTTCCGTGACCTTTCAGCGGCCCTTCGACACTTCACGTAGCCTAAAAGCGCACCTAACATGGCACAAGCGCTGTGGTGACGTCACAGCCACGGGATCGCTCTTGCCCGATCTATTGGGAGTCCATTCTTAAACTAAACTTTTTAATTTTATTTAACCAGGTAAAGCCCACTGAGCTATATAGCTATTTTTCAGAAGTGGCATGGCCCACAAATGATAGTGAAGTGGCTCATCACGTGCAAATTTAAAGCAGCCAAATACTCTAAATGCATGTTTCTAAATGTGGAGGGGAAAACCGGAGGACCCGGAGAAAAATCCACGCGAAAACATGCAAACTCAAAATATACAGCAGGCGTTAGGGTCCGGATCGAACCCACGCCCTCCTGTATACCAGGCGAAGGAGTTAACATCTCCTAGCCACCGTGGCAGCTGTACTGCCCGTCTTCATTAAGGCGCACTTAGGGGCCGTCCATAAATGACGTCACGCACCTGGGGGGGGGGGGGTCAGACATTTGTGACGATGTGTGACGAGGGGGGGGGGTTGAGAAATGTGACGTCACATCAAAATGCGCAACTTTCAATAAATATAGAAAACACGTTCTAC